TTTTGTAGTTAACGAAGATAACGCATGCAAAGTGAGGAGAGTCACGTGAAGAGGTGTGCGGACCTTAAGGTACATGTACTTTTTAAAATTTACAAAAATGGCCATTAAAAAAATTTACAAAAATGCCCATTGAAGAATCGGCAGGCCATGACGTCATGAATCAAAGAATCGGGAGGCCATGACGTCATGAATAGAAGAATCGGGAGAATCATGACGTCACATGGCTATTTACGGCATGGAATCGCCGGTTCTTCTCTAGAACCGGACGATTTCCGGTATTTCACTGGAACCGGATCGGGTCTGCCGGTTCCCAAGTCGAGTCCGATTCGACTCGCTGACTTTTGAATCACTGATCTGAACAATAAGCGGAGGTGACTGATGAAGGAGTGGAAAGATGAAATTTGGCAGCGACCTATAAAGAACATTGACTAATCAGATTTCACCCCAAACCGTGTCAAAAATCATGAGGAAGACAGATACACAAATCCATATGGTTATCTTCTTCTACAGATCTCAAGAGAGCCAAGACTTTCAAGTATCATTTAAGAAATGTTGCTGTAAATACCATCAAAATATTACGCAGTCCATCTTCGAATATTCATACAGATAATAAAGCAAAGTTTAGTACATATTCCCATCAAAATTAGAAGAAAAAAAACTAACCAAGTTGATCAAATCATAGATGGACAAAGTCATACATACCTCTACCATACTCGAGGTAATACTCTTTGGAATAGGCATTGTGGTGTCACCAATCCCGAGGTTTATCAACTTCGTATCAGGGAACTTCTGAAGGTGTGCAGATTGCCTTCGGCTAATCTAATTAACATTCCATCAAATATTAGAGGCATCTCGCTTCAGCAATTCAAAATCACAACTAGGCTTAGAGTTTGCAAAAAAATAAGGACCAATCTCCATGAAGTGATTGGCAACTGAAAAAGTAAATTAAAATAATACTAACATTTGTCAGGAAATAGTCATCTTTCAGCTTTTCCATATTTACATTACGACGAACCATTGTCTTATAAGCTGCAAAGCAAAGGCCAATTGCTAATCATGTGAGTTTGCACCAATGACAGACACAAGTAATCTAAACCACACAAGGAAAAGTACTCCAAAAACTGCTCATTCATAGAGTGCTTTATAATGCTAAGGTACCTAAACAACAATAATACATATCAAAATGGTGGAATGAGAGAAAAAGGAGGGGAACAGCAGAGAATATAGAGACATAAAGCACAACTACCAGATTCGTTATTAGGTTCTGCAATGCAGTTGAACACCCTTCCTCTCCCTGGAGCAGCCAAGAAATTTGAGGTGCTGAAATGATTGTAAGCAAGGTATCAATAGGTTGAAATGATTGAATACAGTGATCCTTCATCTTAATTAAGTTACTAGCACAAGCATGAACAGAATTACAAACTTTGGACGAAAGAAACTTATCAAATAATGTGATGAACAATGGAAGGCATATATATGAAAACAAAAATAAATAAATAAAGGAAACATGTTAAAGGAATTTGAGTAATGAAGTTCTATCATTACACATTAAGGCTCCATATGGACATATTATATCAAAGCAATAGTTCCCCTTATCTTTACAGGCTATCCTCAAAACTGTAGGTCACACAGTCATAATCATATAAAAGAAGCTTCTTCTTTTTTTTCTTTTTGGGTCAATCTTACAGGTCTTTCAGCAGCATTTAGGGAAAAAAAAAAAAAAAGTTGGTTTAAAGACAAATAGGTTCCGCTGTGAGCAGACCAGGCACGGACCTATAACTCTTAAATGGGTGAGAGAAACAGCATTATTTATACACATTCCGGTCATATTCAGACCAAACAATGGTGCTGAAAAGTAAAAGCCACATTGTTTGAATGGCATAATAATGGAATTTGAGAATTCATTGGGCATTTATTCATCTAAACATTTGGGATGTTTGCCTATAAATAGAAAGCCTAAAGGAAAAGAGATCAAACAACCTTAAAAAGGATCAAAATCAAATAACCCTATTATGGATCCAAAAGGATACACCAAAAAGTAATTGAAGACTCAAAGGAATTAACTTTTTCAAAATTTAAAATATATTGGCCATGAAAACTACAGGATATTGCATTGGACTAGAACATTGCAGATGTGCTCATAACACTAAAATTCAAAGTTACTCGAAAAATAGACATGGATCACAATCCAAAATACGTTTAGATTCAAATTCCATTCCATCTCAGCCAGGTACCTAGATTGAGTGGCATTGTGTAGAGAGACAACAGGGCAGGACATGCCAATGTATTTTGATACAATCATCAGAGGCATCTTGGACTGAAATATCTCCTCACTAAATCAAGAACCCAATTGAACACAACTAATTCAGCTAACTATGATACCAAGGAAACCTTCTTAAGTAGATGCAAGAGACACCACCCTTTCGTAAGCCCCGTGACAGATTAGTAACATGCCATTACGCAAGCGTGAAAGGGACAAAACACAGGTGGACGGCTTGGATTCCTTCTAAAGAACAGGCATTAGTCTAAAGAAATCTCATAATTTCGACGAAACTCAAAGCGGGGCCACAGCTTGGTTTTCGGCAGGTAAATGGAGCAAACCGAGAAGAAATTAAGGGACGATTCAAAACATGTGGCTGCTTTAGCAATTTCAAGGCAAAAACAAAATTGAATGCAATTTCTGAAGAGGAGCATTCACACTTTGAACATGAATACCAAATCCTAGATATATAAATATGTACAAATAATAATAATTTAGTAAATTTCCAACTAATTTCCATATTCTACAACCAAATCCATAGAATTCAAGGTAACTATTCAAATTTTCCATGAAGCATAATAGTTAACTAAGGAAAATGCCATGCAACTGTCTATCTAGCCACTTTGAACACAAACCCAATTTATTGAATTTCAGAAATATTAAGGCTTATGTGAATCTTATGTGTTTTTTCATTTAACCTGCTCCTGATTCACATTTTTCTCATTCTATTTTAAATCTATCCAGTAGCAAGCCACTTAGCTAAGGCCCAAAAACCAAGAACAAAAATGACATATCTGGAGTGATTATAAAGAGTCCATAGTCCAGCACACTACCTAAATTCGCTTATATATCTAGCACAACTAGTAAATGCTTGATAAACAAAGAACAACCGACAGTTAAATTTACACTATAGGAAATCATATAGAAAGGAGCGTTACCCATTCCTCAATAAATGTATCCTTTGTTTAATAAATTATGAATATGAAATCAACTTGGTAATGACCTTTTTTTTTTTTGAGTAATTCAGTGGGGAAGACAGGCCCCTAATTGGCAATGCCCATGGCTATGTAATGTGATTATATGGTTCAGGAAATTACATCAAAACTATCCATATCCTCCAATGGTCAAATAATTATAGATAAATATGCGGATTTGGGAAAACAAATACACCAACTCACCCCACTCATCATAAAAGTAGCTATTGTTCTGAAAATGAAAGGTTCATGTTACCATTATATATGAGCCATGGAAAATTGAGATTAGATTGCATCTCTGGTAAATTGCGAGCCAGTATCCTCGCACGTTCCAGGAAATCCAGTGCACCAACCATGCGTCACTAAAATCTAAATCATCAAAACAAGAGGAGCCCACATTGCACGTGTTAACAAGAATTAAAGTAGAAACAAATGAAATAAATTCTTCTCTCCCGAAGACTTCAATGCTAAAAGTTCAAAACCCTCTCTCTCTCTC